GAGCTTCCATCCCTGGAGAGGGAGATGCTACAGCACATTCCCACAATGTCCTGCCCCACCATGGGAACAGTAGGACTAGGGGGAGCAGGGACAAGGCAGGTGACAAAGTGACTACCTGGTCTGGCCTGTGCTGCTCACCACTCGTCTCTGCAGTCCCTGCGCCTGATCCGGCAGCACAGCCTCTCCGCAGCCATCTTCGCTCCCGGCTGGGTCTATGAGCACCTGGGGGAGGAAAACTTCCTGCAGAACGAGAACAGGTGAGAGTGGCTCAGCAGGAGGTTGCAGGGGAACGGGGCTGGGCCAGGAGGACTGTGGGGCAGCAGGAACAGGGCTGCTGGGACCCTGTGGCTGCCAGGGCACTGTGGCTGGGACACTGGCTGCTGGCCAGGAGCCGGCTGGTCCCACTCTGCCCAGCTGACACGATGCCCTAGGCCATGCAGGGCAGCGACTATAGCGGGGGCCTCTGCCCTGACACCCACCTTTGCCTCCAGGTTCTGGGCTTTGCTGGCCGAGTATTTGCCCACACACAGCATCTGCACGCTGCCCCTCGCCACCTCCTTCAGCCTGGGCATGGGCACCAGCAGGTTCCTGGATGGGAAGGTGGGTGCAGGGAGATGGCTCTGGTCTGGCTGGACTGGGTTGGGAGGGGCAGTGGGTCCCTGCTCTTCAGTCCCCCAGCCCAGCTCTCCCTGTGCTGTAGGATGAAGAGTCTGGGCCCTGGTATGACCTGAGCCTGCAGGAGATCCAGCCCCTGTACCCGGAGCAGCAGGGCAGGTTGAGCACCAGCTGCTGCCTGCAGGACGCCTGGTGTGGGGGCAGCTCCCTGCGGCTGCAGGGGACCATTCCCCCCGGCGAGGAGCGCGTGGCCATCCGGTGAGTTGGGGCAAAGCCCTTTGCCCCCTCCTCAGCACCAGGCTGGTACCATATTGGCACGGCACAGCCTGCGTGGCCCAAGCTGTGTGGCCCCAGGGCCTCATGGCGAGTGAGCTGGGGCTCTGCCCACACTGCCCAGCACACCTAACCCAATGCATCTTTGTTTTTCTCTTTGTCTCTATCTCTCTCTCTCTCTCTCTCTGGGTGGATTTGGGGTCATCAGCCTCTTCTCTTTGCAGATGCCGGCACCCCCCAAGCTCTTCCTGACCCTGCTCTACAAGCTGGAGGGGCCGCAGCCCGATGATTTTGTGGTGGCGCTGGAGGTCACCACCTGGGACTCGGGGACCTGCCTTGAGGGCAACCTCACCTCCCTGCCTGGTGAGGACCCTGTCCCGCCACGCTCTCTGCAGTGAGCACCCTCTGTGGGGCGTGGGACCAGCTCAGTCCCTTGCTCCCTGACCTGTCTTCCTCTTGCAGAGCCCAATGGCCGGCACTACCCCCGGTTCCTCCCGGCTCCTCCGCCTGGACTTGCCAAGCTGCTTGCCGCCTGCCACCGTGGCTCCCACGGCTGGACCAGCCGGTGAGTGCCCTACCTGCATCCTGTCCCCACAGGCAGGCATGAGACACCGTGGCACCCTGGTACCATTCCTGCTCTGCCCCTTCCCTCTCAGGTGCTATGAGCTGGAGCTGCAGGACTGCAGCCTGCGAGACCTCTCTGTGATTGTGTCCCGCCAGCAGCCCAGCCCGCAGGAGACATCCTTCACCTGCCTCCTTGGGGAGGTCCGGGTGAGTGCCTGCCGCTGTCAGCTGGAGCCACCTGCCCCGCCGCCACCCTTGTTCTGGGAGGGTGGGAGGGTGCCTGCTGCTCCTTGACAGCCCTGTGGTTCCCTCGCAGGTGCTGGACACAGCCAGCGTGGCGGCTTCTCCGCCACAGGTGCACAGTGTGACAGCCTCGCAGCTTTGGTGGCAGGAGGGCCCTGAGCCCGAGGAGCTCTCACTCAGCCTCACCCTGCGCTGGTCCTTCCCGCCTGGCCGTGCTGGATGCTTCCGTGTCCTGAGCCAGGGTGCCCGGTGCCGCCGGGGCCAGACGGCGCCGCAGCTGCTGGGGCTGGCGCAGGGCTGCCTGTTCCGTGCCGTGGGGGTGCCGGTGCCGCGGCCGATGCCCGGGCAGTCCTGCCGGCTGGAGCTGCTGGTGGAACCGGTGCTGCGGGACGAGCTGCCCGTGGACCCCGACCGCTGGGGCCGCCTCGTGCTGGTCTATTCTGCACCAGGCAGCGGCACCAGCTCAGACGGGCATTAAAGCAACCGTGGTGCAGCCTGTGTCGTGTTTCCTCCACGCGGTGGGTGGGCTGCGGGTGGGGGACACCAATGGTGGAGGCTGCACTTCATCTCCCGGGGTAGGTGGGTCTCTCTTCTCACGACCTGTGGTTGTGCTCAGCCCTCACCGTGGGGTCCTGCTGGGTGCTGACCAGGGCCCTGTGACGGGCTGGCAGGGACCCCCCCAGATATGTGACCCACCCCCCAGCTCCTGCAGCCCTCACTGCCTGCAAGCTGTGCATCCACAGGCTGGGGCTACTTGTCCCAAGAGCCCCGAGCCCCACACCCCCTCCCCTCGGGGCCCAGCCCAGTGGGGAGCTGCCAGCAGGGCTGGCCACTGTGCCCATCACCGTGGACCCAGCCCAATGCCATCAGCCTGTGCTGCCTCCCCTGAGCATCTTCTGAGGAGGAGAGAAAATTTATAGCAGCAATTATTTTCTCACAGTCTGGTGAGCAAGCAATTAGCAGGCAGGAGCAGGCGAGCACACCCACAGTGGGGTCCCCAGCCACACACCCTCTGCGTGCCGGTCCCGTCCCCAAACAATGCGGGCTCCGATCAGGGTCATCAGTGTCAGCGGTCAGGCAGGAACGCGCTCGGGAACGAATTAGGGCCCTGCACCCCAGTCAAAACCTGAGTCGCCGTGGTTGAAGAAAGAAATCTTTATTAATAATTTCAATAATAATAATAATAATCCTTGTAATAATAATAATAGTAATAATAATAATACTGTTTATTAGGATGGTCACACCTTTAAGCATACAGGATGGGCCGGCGCCAGCCCGCGCGCCGGGGCGGCGCAGGGGTGCTGTAAGGGAGAAGCCAGTACAGCGATGGACGGAGCTTTGTACACGGGGGCGGCGGGGGCTGGGGCTATGTACACCGGGAATAGAAAAGGGGGAGCTCGTCGCTGGGGTGTCAGGGGCGTCTGCAGACTATAAAGTGAGGTTTGAGGAGTGGCAGAGCCACGTGGGTGGGGAGCAGGGGGCTGAGTGTGAAGCCGCCCGTGGGATGGGGCTGCACCCCAGGGTGGGCTCCACAGCACCCCGTGCCATCAGGCACCAGAGCCAGCGTGCCAGCGGCTGCAGCCCGACCCCGGGGCTCGGGCAGGTCTCCATGGGTGATGCAGCGGCTGAGACTTCACGCCCACGGCTGGGGGGTCCCGCTGCCTCGGGGGGGGTGGCTGTGAGCGTGACCCACGCTGCGGAGCAGGCGGGAGTGGGAGCAGGATCGGGGCAGTCCCTGGCCCGGTGTTGGTCAGGGCTGCTCCGGGCAGGGTGGGAGCATGGGGTGGCAGGGATAGAGGGGAGGGGAAGGGGTCGCAAGCGAGTTGCAAGCTCCTCTTAACAAAAATTCCCTTTAAAAGGCAGAGGCTCGTCCCCTGCAACGCCTCAGCACCGCGGCTGCGCCGCCGCCCCAGTTCCACACTGGAGCCGAGGCCACGCACACTTGACACGCTCATGGCCGGCAGCGCCGGGTCTCGGGCAGCACAAAGCTGGGTCTCCACCCTGTCACCCAGTCCCCCGAGCCAGGCAGGGGTGCAACGCTCTGCCGGCACCCCCAGCGCTGCCACACCGGGGAAAGGAAGACGTGGTGCCCAAGCCCTGCGCCTGGGCGGCTGAGGGCCCCGTGGACCCCCACGGACCCCCATGCTGGCTCCCTCCCTGCGGGGCTGTGGGCCGGGGCGCAGCAGGTCCCTCCGGCGCGTCCGGCCGCCGGTGCTTGCCACGGCTCCTCCGGGACTTGCTCGCTCGGTGCGTGTGGACAGTTTGGGACTCACTTGGCTGCTTCCGCTTGGCTTTGTTTTTCTTTTTTTGTTGCTTTGCTTTTAATTTTTTTGTTTTGGGTTTTTTTGTGTGTGTGTGTGAATTTTTTTGCCCTTCCTGGTCCCAGAAGGAAACAGCCGTGGGTTCACTACAACAGAAACAAGAGAGGCAGGTCTTGCTGGAGCAGCCTGGCTGAGCCACCGGCCAGGGGGGACACAGGCACCAACCTGGCCCCCCGAGCCCACACAGCCAGCCCAACCTCATGCACTCAGCTCTGCAGAGCAGCACGGTCAGCCCGGAGAAGTGCTATTGCCCTAGGGAGCCTTAGGGTCCTGTGCCTTCCCCAACCCCATCCGTCTCCAGAGCTGTCAGCAGCCCCCACCAGCTCCTCTCTCTCCTATGGGGGCAGAGGGGCTGCTCGGGAGCTGCCACTGCCCCATGCCCCAGCACCTCGGGCCAAGCATCCCTGTGGGCCGAGCACCCCAGCGGGCTGAGTATCCCCTCCTGCCTCACAGGGGGACGAGCCCTCTGCACTCCAGCCAGGGCAGTGTCTGTGGGGGGACCCTGCACCCCGGCTCTGGGAACGGGGCGCCACTGGGGCCGAGGGCTGGCCCCGTTCCCCGCGGTCCCCGGGGTGGGCAGACGGAGCAGGAGAGGTGTGTGGCGGCGGGACGGAGCGGCTGAGGTAACCCTACAGGTGTGGGGTGCCCGGTGCCAGCCCCGGCCGCCCAGGCAGCGCCCGCGGCTCCTCCGCAGGCTCGGCCTCGGCTCTGGCTGCCTGGTTTGGTTTGGTGCTAGTGAGCATCGGGGGCAGTGGTGGGGGGGCTGGGTCTGTCTTGCTAGTAGGGAGTGAAGCGGCTGTACCCTCCTCGGTATAGACTAGCCTGCAACATCAAAGATGAAAAAAAAGCCAATCAGTATTTGGAGAGAGGCAAAGCCCAGATGTTCCCTTCTTTCCTTTTTTTCTTCTCTGTTTTTTTTTTTTTCCTCTTTCAACTGATAACAAATTGCTGCTGTCCTTGGGACATGAGGATTGGGTAAGGCCAGGGTGCCCAGTGCTGCCCAGGCTCTGTTGTGGCCATGGATACTGCCCTGGGGCCACAGGCTGCCATGTGCCCCAGTCATGGCACTGCCACAGTGTGCCTGAGGAGCCTGTCCCCATCCCTGCTGTGGCACGGGGTTGGAAACCACCAGGATGGAGTGCCCACGGCCCCTCACTAGTGGCTGCCTGGGGCTGGGGGTGCCAAGCGAGTAAAAAAAGGCAGAGAAAGGTGGGTTGGCTTTGAGATGCCACCCATAAGTGAGATTTTTCATCTTTGATGCTGTCAGAGCTAGCCAAGAGCTGTGGCACACGGTGAGCTGCAGTGCTCCCTGTGTGTGGCTCTACATGGGGGCCTGGGGACAATGCCCTGCACTGGGATGAGAGCGGGGGTCCCAAACACCAGGCAGGGCCCTGGGACACTGACCAGGCAGCTGGCACGGGGGGCAGCCAAGCCCCCGGGAAGCAGAGTGCGTGGGCAGGACTATGCAGGGTGTGAGGGGTGCACGGAGCAGAGGTGCAGGGTGGGGGTCTCCTCTCCTGCAGACAGAGCCAGGCAGGGGCTGCGCTGTCCCCGCTCCCCTCCCACACTCCCCGTGTGCGGGGGTGCCCGTGTCCTGCAGGCTGCCGTGCTGGCCCCCTCCCCGGGCTGGCTGAAGCCCCCTGGAAGCAGAGGAAGGCCGAGGGGCTGCTCTTACCATGGTGCCGATGCTGTACGTGGCGGCGGGGCCGATGGTGTGGTGGTAGGGGTCTGCTGCTGCGTACACTCTGCCGTAACTAGGAGCAAACACAGTGCTGGGCGTTAGTCACAAGAGTGGGGGTCCTGTCTCCCCTTGGAGCTCCCCTGCCCAGCTGTGCCTGGGAGCCCCCCGGAATCTCCCTGATTCCCCCTCCAGTGGTGCCAGCCCTTTCCAGTCCCAGCTCTGTGGGAAGCGCAGGGGTCCCAGTTTGCAGGACACCCTCCCCATGGCCACCCTGTGGCGCACAGAAGCTGGGAGTGTCAGAGTGGGCAGTGCAGGGGGTGACACAGGGTCACGGCGGTGCTTACCTGTCACTGTACGCTGCCGCTGCTGCCGCGGGCTGGGCGTACCTGTAGGCAGCATAGCCCCCCTGCAGGGAGAGAGACTGGTCAGGGGGCAGCACCCACCATGGGGGGGACCAGGGTGAGGGCAGCTGGGTGACCCACTGCACTGCACACAGCAGTGGTGAGGCCTGTGGGGAGCCAGTGCTGGTGCCACCGGGCATGCAGCAGCCTCATTACCATTCCCCAGGGGCTTTCACAAACATTAACCTTAAAAAATTAAATTTCAGAGGAGAGAATGTCACCTCCCCACTCGCTTTAATGAGGTGTCATGTTAGGTAAATCCTTCAGCAACCGCCTGAAATATTGCCACTGGCTCCTCAGACACAGAGGTTAAACATGGGTGTAAGGCACTGACACCGTAAATCCCACATGGTGCTGGCCCTGCGAGGGGTCTGGCGGGCACAGGACAGGGCACAGGACCCTGTGCAGCACCACCCAGATCGCTCCAGAGGAGCCACACTCTGTTCATGTTCTGCCTCCCAGGAAAAGGGGTTGGCAGGGGCAGAGCCGACCATAGAGATGCCCAGTGCTGCCTGCTCCCTGCCCTGGCACAGGGTCCCCGTCATGGCCCAGCCCTGGGCACAGTGTCACTTACATAGATCTCAGCTCCGTAGAACCCGTCCTGGTAGACGACCCTGGAAATGAGGTGGAGGTGTCACAGCCCGGCCAGTGTCCCCAGACGAGGGGAGCAGAATGAGGGTGGTGAACGAGGGGAGCTGCCTCAACAGCGCAGCTGAGGGGTGAGGAGTTGTTGTGCAGGTCCCCGAGGACATGTCCAGGCTGGGACTCTGGGCAGGGACCTAGGGATGGGTGGAGGGCATGGCCCAGGGCCCCAGGAGTGCTCCAGGGATGGAGGAGTCTGGAGCATGATAGCTGCTGGGAACAGCTGAGCAGCTGCAGATGGCCATGGCCATGTCCGTGCCCAGCCGTGTGTGCCAGGAGAGGGTTTCCATCAAACCAACCATCCTGGCTGGAATAACATCCCGTGCCTTAGGGCACAGGAGGCTGGTGAGTGTGTGGGTCACCCTGAGGGCAGCACCCTGGGGGCTGCAGAGAGTCCATGGCCAAGCAAGTGCTGTGGGAGCTGCAGCACGTTCCCCAT